CTTTTAAAGTAGAACAGTGGTCAGGTGACCAGAAACTAAAACCTAGGTACATTCAGCTCTGTTGAATGCTATTGGAACACATTATTATTATTTTTACATGTTATTATTATTATTATACAGGATTTATATAGCGCCAACAGCTTGCTCAGCGCTTTACAATATAAGGAAGACATTACAATCACAATACAATTCAAGACAAGATGGTAAGGAGGGCCCTGCCTGTGAGAGCTTACAATCTAAAAGGGAGGGGGAAGTGATACATGAGGAGGGAGCTGTGTGGGGATGAATTGTATGAGAACGTGATGGTTCAGTGGTTAGGTTGAGGTGGGATAGGCTTCCCTGATGAGATGAGTCTTTAGGGAACGCCTAAAGGCAGTCAAGGTGGGAGATAGGCGGACAGGTTGGGGTAGAGAGTTCCATAGGATGGGAGAGACTCTAGTGAAGTCCTGGAGGCGAGCATGGGAGGAGTTGATGAGGGAGCTGGAAGGCAGAAGGTCCTTTGAAGAGCGCAGAGGACGGTTAGGGTGATACTTTGAGACAAGGTTTGAGATATAGCCGGGGACAGAGTTGTGCATGGCTTTGTAAGTCGTTGTTAATATTTTGAATTTTATCCTTTGGGCTATTGGAAGCCAGTGCAGGGATCGGCAGAGGGGGGCGGGGGATGGAAGGCAGTGGAAGGATTGTCAGAGGGGGGGTTGCAGACACTGAGTGGTTGGTCAGGTGAATGAGTCTAGCAGCAGGATTCATGATAGACTGAAGGGGGGATAGCCTGTGTAGTGGCTTGTTGTGCGCAGGATTTAATTAGACTTTCATTACAATGACCTTTTGGTGTGTCCACTTGTGTCACCCTCTGGGAGCCGTACTGAGAACCTTGCCTGTATTGCCCACACCATGATGAGCCATGGACGTGCTCTTCGCTCTTCCAGCGCAGTTTCCTCTGCCTGTTTGCTGACTTTAACAAGATAATTGAATCCTGCTTCATAGAAAAGTGGCTATAAAAAGTCCATTCCCTGTGCGGATGTTTATGCAGTTTGGCTCCAACGCCCCCGTAGGCGAGAGGGAATTTGGTAGCATTTTTATGACTCCAAACCCATCCCCAACCATAAAGCTGCAGTTGCTATAGTTTTCTAGGAAAACCATTTGTGACCAGGTGAAGACTTGTAAACTCGGTGCTCAGAAACAGACATCATCCCCGGCCCTTTATAAGGGGGGAAAAGGCTCGGCGGACCCATTAGCGTCCCATATAAAATTCACGTGCAATTACTTTGCTTCCTAGGTCACCTACAAAAATAGTGACGCTTGAAACTTGACGCCGTGCACGGTTTTTTTTTTAAGACCGCACTATTA